ATCCTGATCAAGTGGGATTCATATCAGGGATGCAAGGATGGTTCAACATTAGAAAAAACGATCAATGTTATCCACCATATATATAAAATTTTGTGTTCAATCCTTTTACAATTTATTTCTTTATTGTGCATTGTTTTTATTAAGTGCTGTTGAGTGGGATCCAATTCATAACCACCCAGTATAGTGTTTTCGAGGAGCAGCTGGTGAGCTTGAACTGCCAGTCTTAGGATTTGAAACCAATCTTGCAGTCCAGTTCTTTAACTCAAAGTGCTGCACCAGGACTCCTATTGTACATTTTGGTGGTTGTTGTTGTTAAGTGCCATCGAGTGTGTTCTGACTCACAGCGACTCTGTATTGGGTTTCTGAGGAGAGGTTAGTAGGTTTGAACTGCCATGTTCATTGGTGGTGGTGGTGATGTGCCGTGGAGTTGGTTGTAACTCATAGCGACCCTACATAAGCTGTATATCTTTACAGGGAGCATAAATCTTTACAGAAAGCAGAAAGCAACTTTCTCCTGTGGAACATCTGGGAGTTTCAAACTGCTGACTTGAGGTTAGCAGCCTGACTTGTAACCACTACTTTAGCTACTCTATATTCATGAGCACGTTTCAGAGCTCTGGTAACGTAGTGGTTACTGCTTGGGCTGCAAACCACAAGGTCAGCAGTTCAAAACTAGAAGCTCTTTTGCAGGACAAAGATGAGGCTTTCTGCTCCCTTAAGATTTACAGCCTCGGAATCCCTATACAGGGTCGCTATGAGTTGGAACTGACTCCACAGCACATAACAACAATAACAATGTTACAATGTACTCTTCTAATGTACACTTTAGTCTTTTCTTTCTCTCTATTTTAAATGACAGTTTTGCTTTCTTCATATATAATGTTCTTAATATCATATTACAACTCCTCTGGTCATTAGTATTCAGTGTGTTAAAGTCTTAAGATGGTTTCTTAATTCAAGTAGCATATAATCAAGGTCATATTTTGCTTCTCTTAAATTTGTTTTAATATTCTTCAGCTTCAACTTGAACTTGTATATGAATAATTTATGGTCTAGTCCACATATGACTCTTGACCTTTTTTCTGACAGATGATATCGAGTTTCTCCATCATCTGTTTCTACAGATGAAATTAATTAAACCCTTGTGTATTTCATCTGTTGAGGTCCACCTTTGTAGTTGACTTCTTTGCTATTGAAAATAAAGGTAATTCCAATGAATAAGTTGTTGATGTTATTATTGTTGTTGTTGTTAGGTGCCATCAAGTTGGTACTGACTCAAAGTGACCTTATTAGGTGCTGTTACATTTGTTCTGATTTATAGTGATTCCATGTATATAGTATAGTGAAACACTGCCTGGACTTGCTCCATCCTCACAGTTGTTCTTATGGCCTGTTATTCATTCCACTGGGTTAATCCATTTCATTGGGGGGGGTCTTCCTTTTTATCACTGACGTAAGAAGCAAAGTCTTGCCATCATTCCTTCTGAAGACTAATCTGTCCATAATTCTTTCAAAACAGATTTGTTCATTCTTCTGGCAGTCAAATACCATAATTCAAACTCATCAATTCTTTTCTAGTCTTCCTAATTCGTTGGAATGTGAGGTAATTTAAACCATGCCTTCTTTAATTCCCACATTAGTCCTGAAAGTATTATCTTTGTTCTTTAACACTTTGAAGAGGTCTTCTGCAGCAGTTTTGCCTAATGCAATATGTACTTTAATTTCTTGACTACTGCTTCCATGAACATTGATTGTAGAACCAAGCAAAATGAAACATTTGACAACTTAAATATTTTCTCTATTTATCATGATGCTATTTATTGATACAATTATGAGAACTGTCACTTCCTTTACATTGAGGTGATCTTTGATCGTTATCAGTAAGTGCTTCAAGTTCTCTTTAGTTTCAGCAAGCAAAATTGTGCCAACTTCATATTACAGGTTGTTGATGAGTGTTCCTCTTATCTTGATGCCAATTTTTTCTTCATATAATCCAATTGTCAGATTATTTGCTCAGCATATGAATTGAATAAAATGATAAAATTATACAAATCTGACTCACATTTTTCTTGATTTGAAACCATTCAATATCATACTGTTCTGTTCAAATGGCTCTCTTGGTCTACATACAGGTTCCTCATGAACACAATTAAGTGTTCTGTAATTCCCATTCTTTGTAATGTTATCCATAGTTTGTCATGATCCACAGAGTTGAGAAAACTTTTGCATAATCAATAAAGCACAGGTAAACCTCTTTATGCTATTCTCTGTTTTTCATCAAGATCCATCTAATGTTAGCAATAGATGATATTCTTTTTTCCACATCATCTTCTGAGTCCATCTTGAATTTTTGGCAACTCCCTGTTGATGTAAACACGTTTTTGAATTATCTTCAGGAAAAATTTACTTGCATGTGACATCACTGATATTATTGGATGATTTCTGCATTCTGTTTAGTACCTTTATTTGGAACTGGCACAATTATGTATCTCTTTCAATGAGATTGGCCAGGAAGCTAGCTTACAAATTACTTGACATAGTGAGCACCTCTAGTGCTATATCAGTTAATTAGAACATTTAAATTTTATCTCATCAATTCCTGGACTCTTGTTTTTCTTCAGTGCCTTCCATGCAGCTTAGGCATCTTCTTTTAATACTATCAGTTCTTGATCATATGTTACCTCTTAAAATGGCTGAACATCGCCCAAATCTTTATGGTACGGTGACTCTGTGTATTCCTGCCATCATATTTTGGTGCTTCCTGTGTCATTCAGTGAATTGCTGCTCTTGAAAAATTCTATCACGTGATCTTCAGCATCATTTCTTCGCCAAGTCTATATTTTCCAACTTCCAGTTCTTCTTTGTTTCCACCTTATTCCTGTTATCATTCTGGTATATTCCTTTCAACCCTTTTCTATATACATGAATATAGTCACAATCACCACATCCTACCAGCAATTGGATATCTATACTCTCAAACATGTATGAAACACAAATCTCAAATTCCACCATTTTCTAGGGCTACTTCTGATATCAAATATCTTAACCTAGGTTTTCTAAGAAATAGAGCATGAGCAAAACATTATTAGATGAAAATCAGGAGCGAGGTAAAGTAGAAATAAAGTAGGGGAGATAAGAATGTAAACTATCTAACTGGGAAATTTTCAGCATCAAAAACAAATATTTCTTCACCTACTAAATAATGTTCCCAGAAAACTTTATAAATTATTGTGTCTGAGGTGTTTCTTTGAGAAGGAGGAAAAGAGATTTTACTTTTGACTTCAATTTCTCTTGGTTAGTATTTTATTTACTGTCTTTAACTTCAGTAACAACTGTATTGCACATGCAGGGAACTAAACAGATCACTTTACTATGCTAATCAACATGCAATGTAACTGAAAGATGAGGTACTGAGTTTGTTCATTTGTTTTTACATTTTTTATTTCTTTAATGAAATTAATCTTACACAAATTAACGACTTGAGCCATAAAATCAGTGATATTTAGTATATTTACAAGGTTGTATACGCTATTTTTTTCTTTTAATTTTTTAAAATTATTTTACAAAAGGGTTTTCCCACAATCAATCTTAAAATCTAACTTTGTTGCAGTTCTTCCAGTCAGATTATAACCTGGACTCAACACTGAAATTAACATTGTGCAGACTTGGCTTGTTGTGGGGCTATAGGGTAAGCACTAGACCTGGTGTGGTGCTATAGGATAAGCACTGGAGTTCTGGTGTGGCACTGTAGTATAAGCACTGGACCACAAATCTGCAAGGTAAGAAGTTCAAACTCACCAGATGCTCCTCATAAACACTATAAGGGTCACTATGAATAGGAACCAGCTTGAGGGCACTTAACAATAGCAACAGGCATGCCATTGAAGGTTTTTGGAGCTATTGTGCATCCTTTCATTGGGGAGAAGAAGAGAATAGCTTTGTATAAACATCTTACCTAGTGAAAGAAGAGAGGTGTTGCCTTTATTTAGTTTTATTTATTTTCCTTTAAATGTATTCTGTCATATTTGAAGGGATTAGATGTTCCACTAATTTATCTATTGGTCTAAACTAAAAAAAAACCACCTTCCTTTCTTGTGTTCTTGAATGCTAGTACAGGAAGTACAAAAAATTATATTTCTTCTTTATCAGCTATACTTCCTATTTTGATCAATAGGTGCTCACTAGAATAAGATTTAAAATCAAGAGAAGGGGAGAAGATACTTCATTATATCAAAAGGAAATGGAATATATGGAGAACTTGAAGCAGGTATGTGAAGAGAATAGAGTAAGAAAATATATAAAAATTGTTCAAACAGGAAGTGGTTTAGGCAAATGCTAGAGATAAGAAGCTCTAACGTCTGGCTATTTTTGACTCCTTCTTGCACACATTTTGTATATCATTATACATTAATTTTAAGTCTCAGTTGAGTTCTAAAGTGAATTTCTAAATAGTTTTGTTCTTTCCAAAAACAATTGATGGTACCATATCTTCCTCATAGCATTCTTCATCTCCATATTTCTCAGTGTATAGATCAAAGGGTTGAACATGGGAACAATGAGGGTGTAGAAAAGAGCAAACACTTTATCTTCCGGAAAAATTACCGCTGGTCTTATGTAAACGAACAGGACTGGCACAAAGAATAGAACTACAATTGTTATGTGAGAACTGCAAGTAGAAAGTGCCTTTTTACGACTTTGGGCAGGGTAAGCCCGGATGGTATACAATATCAGAACATATGACACCATCACAATCACAAAGGTAATCAAAGCAAGAATACCTGAATTGACAAGTACCAATAGACCAATTTTGTGTGTATTGGTGCAAGCCAGATTCAGTAAAGGATACACATCACAGAAGTAGTGATCTATCTTATTTGGGCCACAGAAAGATAAGAATATAATGAGAAGAAACTGGTTAGTAGAGTGTATAAATCCTCCAATACAACAAGCTAGGATGATCGCGTTACATCTATGCCTGCTCATGATGACAGTATAGTGCAAGGGCTTGCAGATGGCCACATAGCGGTCATAGGCCATTCCTGTGAGGATAAAGATCTCGATACCTCCAAGGAAGTGCATTATAAAAAGTTGTGCCATGCAGTTATTATAAGAAATGGTCTTCTTTTCTGTCAGTAAGTCAAACATTAGTTTGGGTGTCACAGTGGATGTATAGCAAAGGTCGGAAAGAGAGAGGTAATTAAGGAAGAAATACATGGGCTGCTCATTTAGCTGACTGCATGTGACAGAAATAATTATAAGCAAGTTTCCTAGCCAAATAGCAATGTAACAAAATAAGAAAAACACAAAGCAGGCAATTTCAATACTTCTGTTTTTAGAAAAGCCTAAAAGAATAAACACAGTGACATTATTCCTATTTTCCATGATCCAATGAGGTAAAAATGCATAGCAGTAACCTGAAATGAGATAATTTATAAATAATTTTCAGAAATATTTATAGGTAATCTTGATTGTAATATACAATGTTTAATTGAATAGATTGCTGTGTTTCAAAAATTGAAAATCTAATATTTTTTGGATCATCTCATGATGATTTCCTTAAATACATTGTTAATTACTACTGAAGTTGTAGGATTGTATTTATTATAGCATTTACCAAGTTTTTAATGTTGATATTGATATTAATAGAAATTAATTCATTCAATCAGTCAATAAAAATAAGAAAAAAAATAGGAGGCACTAATCATTTCACAATTTCAATAGAATATACAGCAAAGTCATGGAAAAGATATTCTGAACTATAACTAAAATAAATTAGATACAAGTATAAATCACTCAAAGTTTTCTTTAATGATGCAGAAGCAAATGTAAAGTTCTAACAGTGGTTAATAGTTTTTGTTAACAGCCATTGTATCAGTCCTGACACATGGGGATTCCCTGGTAGAGGAAACAAAATACTGCGCAGTCATGTAGTAGCTTCCTGATTGGTTGAAGGATTGGCTCTGTTGTGATCCATAGATTTTCATTGGTTAGTTTTTGGAGGTAGCTAGGCAGACCTTTCTTATTACTCCACCTTTATCTGGAAGTTCCACTGAAATCTGCTCACCATCATAGCAACCTGCAAGTTTACACTTAGAGACAGATGGTAGTTAGAGACAGGAGGTGCATTGGTTGGAAATCAAACCCAAGTCTCTTTCATGGAAGGGAAAACTTATACCATGGAGCCATCACTGCCTCATAAAAGATTGTATGCTACCTTTATTTTTTTTTAGATGATCCATACAATAAAGTGAAATATTAATGTGATGATAAATATTTATTTTAAAAGTAGAAGAAAAAATTAATCTATACAACACCCATGTAATTGGTTAATTTTGCTTTTATTTTTGTTACTTAAAATTTCAAACACTTTACTGTGCTTTACTTAGAAATTGAAAGTTTACATAGCAAATTAGTTTACTAATCTGCAGTCTATCCACAAACTCTTCTGTGATTTTGGTTGCAATCCCTGCAATGTATTAGCACTCTCCCTATTTCCTCTGTGGATTCCCCATTTCTGTTCATCCAATTTTCCTGTCTATCTGTGTCTTCTCATCTTTGGTTGGAGACAAAAATTGCCCTTTTGATCTTGTATAATAGATAATTCTAAAAAGCACATTCTTCTAGGGTTTTATTTTTTGTTTTGTAGTCCCATCTATTGTTTGGCTGAAATGTGGCCTCATGGAGTGTCTTCAATTTTAAATGTAAAGGTTGCCTTAAGACAATAGTCTCCGGGGTTCCTCTAGTCTCTTTTAGATAAATAAGTCTGGCCTTGCTTTTCTAATTTGAAATTTGTTTACTTGTTATAACCAGTACTTTCTCTTGTGATATTTGTCAGAGTATTGTGCCCTGGTGCTTGGCACCATTTAGTTCTTCTAGGTTCAGATTAGAGGCAAGAATGGTTCATGTGGGCTAATTGCTTCCTTGAGTCTCCAGTTTTCTTCATGTCTTCATTTCACCTTTTCGACGTATGAGAAGAGATGAATAATTGCTTCTTAGATGGCTTTTTGCAAGCTTTTATGAACCAAGATACTACTTATTAGAATAGGATATTGATAGTTATCTTTATGAACTGTGTTTTGCCAGTTGATCTAGATATTCCCAATTATTATGGTCCTTGACTTTCAAGTCTAGTGGTTCAGTATCAATGTCTAAGTAATTTCTATAACTTAGTCCCCATACGCTCTATTATATGTTCATATGAACATTGTAGATGTTGTCAGGTGCCGCTGCCCTGGCTTTGACTCATAGCTACCTAATGTACAAAAGAAGGAAACACTGAACAGTCCTGTTCCTTCTTCACAGTTGTTGTTATGTTTGAGCCCATCATTTCTGCCACTGTGTCAATCCCTCGCGTTGAGATTATTCCCCCTTTTCACTGACCCTCTACTTTGCCAAGCACGATACCTTTTTTTAGGAACTACACTCTCCTGATAACATGTCCAAAATATGTGAGACATGTCTCATAATCTTCCCTTCTAAAGGAGATCCTGACTACTTCTTTTAGCACAGATTTCTTTGATTTGTACAGTCCATGATATTTTCAATGTGCTTCACTACTACCTTAATTCAAATGCATACATTTTTCTCTAGTCTTCCTTATTCATTGCCCAATGTTCACATGCATATGAAGCAAGTGGATGTATCACAGCTCAGGTCAAATTCACCTTAGTCTTCAAAGCAACATCTTTGCTTTTTAATATTTTAAAGAGGTCTTGTGCAGCAAATTTGCCCAATGCAACAAGTTGTATGATTTCTTGACTGCTGCTTCCCTGAGCCTTGATTGTGGATCAAAGTAAAATAAAATCCTTGACAACTTCAATACGTTCTCTTCATACAAGTATAACACAATACTTACAAGTGTATGTGTTGAAATATCCACGACAATAACATATATGTATATATGTTACCTTCCTCACTTACTTGGCATGTTTACCTGTTTATCTAGTCACACAACATTGCTATTTATTACTGAAGTTGTAGGATTGTGTATGTTATAGCATATGCCATAATATTATTAGATGCCAATGAGTTGATTCCAAATCAAAGTGTACTTGTCATTATTCTTGTGCTTTCCTTTGCTTTGATCTCATTGGGTTTACTTGCCCCATATTGTGCATGCCCTTTCCCTTCAGCAGAATCAAGTCCTGATGAGGCACCATAGGATAAGAACTTGACATCAAGGTCTTTTGAACCCCAAGGTCTGGGGCTCAATCTCACCAGTCACTCCTCAGAAACTCTATACAGGGTCACTCTGAGTTTATTAGGGTCCCTAGCATTATCCTCCACCATTCATTTGTCAATTTGTCATACAGTGGTGACTTGCATGTTGCTGTGTTGCTGGAAGTTATGCCACCAGTATTTTAAACACCAGCAGGGTCACCCATGATGGATAAGTTTCAGCTGAGCTTCCAGACTCAGATAAACTAGGAAATAGGAGAGACAGACTACTTCTGAATGTTTAGCCACTGAAAACTTTAGAAATATCAGTGGAGCACTGTCAAACAGAACCAAAGTATTGAATTTTGAAGCAGAATAGTGTTAGACATAGTGCTGGAATATTCATAGTGACCAGGTTTAAGGGTTCCAAAACCAGCTGGTGGGTTTTGAATGGACGACCTTGTGGTTTGAAGTCCCGTGCTAAAACATAGCTGAATATTTCCTGGGTTAAATGTATCCAGAACATCTAACTAGAAGTTACTACACTAGAGCTTGAAGCCAGAAATTTCTGAGTTCAGAGCCAGAGTTCATAACCACAAAAGATATAGAAATGAAGCAAGAGAACACATTTGATGTTAAAATCTCTACTTTTTCATAATTATTTAATTATTGCATGCAAAGCCAGATAACCTCCTAGGTTGTTGCCATTGTACCAATTTAGCCCAGGTCATGTACATTGTGCAGCTGGAGTCCATCAGGACCCTCGTATAGGGTGGCTCAAATTGTTGGTTGATTGTGTGCCATTGAGTCAGTTCCC